CCAGGAGGACTGCGACCAGTTATACATCGGGGAAACAAAGCAACCACTGTTCAAATGAATGTCCCAACACAGACGAGCTACGTCTAATGGCCAGAACTCTGCAGTTTTCACTCATTTACAGGCCAGCGGTCACTCTTTCAGAGATGAGGATGTTCTCATTCTTGATAGAGAGGAACGTTGGTTTGAGAGAGGAGTAAAAGAAGCCATTTTTGTGAAGAAAGACCGTCCATCATTAAACAGAGGTGGAGGCCTCCGTTTTCAGRTGTCCCCCTSCTACAGCGTGGCCATTGCCAGTATCACTCCACCCCCTGTTAACAATAAGTGTTAATTAGGTGTCAACGATAGCCATGTGATGTGAGTATCAGTCACACGGAGGCAGTGCTTAAAAGCCTGAATTTTGACTGAAGAAGTCTCTTGGAGGAGAGACGAAACGTTTCATTAGAGAAGAACACGTCCAGAAGACCTACACAATTTTTTCTTTTTGATTTTTTACCTGGATTACTGAGATGCATCAAGACAGTATATTAGAGATAACTAACTACCACACTAACATCTGTAAAACTGACTGACTTATAGCCATTTTTGTAAGCAGAGGGAACTGTCTTGAATTGAATTGACATCATATGTTAATCAGTTGTACATGTAGATCCATTGATTTTTTTTCACTGATTTCAATGCAATCTGTCCTGTGGTTCATGAGATATTTTGCTAACAGAGTGGATTAACGTAACTAGTTATTGCTAATGTTTCACGTAAAAGTTTTGTACTCTGTCTACTATTATGTAACGGGGATGATATTCAGCTACTACCATACCAATTTAAGTCAAATCAGTTCTAGATGGATAACCAATAATTACTTTCTAATCTGTACAGTGGTTCTTGTGATATTTTGCTAACAAACAGGCCTAAATGACTCCAATAGTCAAAATCGTATCACGCAGAAAGCAGACAAACAAAAATGTCACACAGTCACCAATAGTATCAATCACTGTCAAGCTTTTAATGCCTTTCCTTCCAGAAATTTCAGACAAAAACAAGCTTCTGCTGAAGCAAGTTCTCATTTTTCAGCCGGCTCTTTAAAAGGGAAAAGAAGATTTGTGTGTCTGGAATATCCTGCAGCTCAATTTGAAAGGTTTCCACAGGGAGACTTCTGGGAAATTAAAGACAGGTACAGAGATGTTTTCAGGAGTTTGTGTGACATGGTTCAAATACTTCTTTAAGTATCTGTTGATTTATGAGGTGACCAAACAAATGTCCTCCGTCCCACTAAACTAAAAGACTACAAGTCCTTCTAACTTTCTGAGGTTGCATTTTCTAGATAAATGAAATGTTTTTTTTTTAATGTACGTTTAGTTTTCAGAGTTGGAAACTTGTCTGAACCCATTAAAGGTGTACAATTTTTCATTTTCTTCATTTTAAAAATGACAAGGAAGATAAATATGCCAACAATAAACAACAACAACAAAAACAGATGCATTTGCTAAATTTTCCTTTTAAAAAAACAGCTTGAGAATTCACTTCGCTGTTCTCTGGGTTTCCTTGTGTTCTTTATTTTTAGCCTGGACAGCTGGCACAGAGGCGCTGAAGGCAAACAGACAAGTTCACCAGACCTGATGTCACCAACGAAAACAAACAAACATAAAAACGGGCTCTGACTGTACACCCAGATCAATCCTGCGTATGAAATGAAAATATAATACATGGTTTCTGTTGCTTGCTTTTCACCTCATTTGTGTTTTTTAAATCTCAATTTCCAACACAAAGATTCAAACTCTCATCTCAACTATCTCATACTTGTAAATACGACGTTCCTGGAGTCCTGGAATCAAGTCCTTGATATCTGTGAAGGTTTGCTGTTGTTGTTTACCTCACAAATCTCAGGAAAAGCTAAACCCAAATAAGTCTGTGAACCCAGCAGTAATTAGGATTTTAATTTCAGCGGCCATGTGGTTTGTGTCTGCAGCTCCTCCTGCCTGCTGTAGATCACACACACACAGACAGCTTCTCTTTGGCTGGATTATTTTCCATCCAGCCTTTTCTCTTTCAGCACTAGAATGAAAACTATGTCCTTTCTAACCAACTCTGGTATTAACATCAATTTGAACATTCCTAAGTAAGAGCACAGACATATATTGAACAGAAAAAAAAATCAGTGAGAACTCAGTGATGACTGAATTCTGGATATTTTTCTACCTTCTTCTCGGCTATTCTTTCCCAAACAAGGACATTTGCTTAAACACAACCAAGTTGTTTCTCTAAGGAGCCTTTGAGAGGTGACGTTTAGATTAGGAGAGGAGGAGAGGGGGGCAGCAGAGGAGTCAAGACGGGGAGTGGCAGAAGGTGTGAACGGGTGAGGAAAGGGCCGTCACTGGGGACCAGAGTTGCCTCCAAAGCCTCCAGTCAAGTTGAAATCCCACAGACGCTCACTTTGCATCCTCCCCTTTGCCCAGCAGCCTCCTCTCCTCCTCTCTGCATCAGCTCCTCACGCTCCCACCATCAACCTTTCAAGGGCTCCTCCGAGGCGTCTTCCCCCGAAGCAAATAAAAGCCCATTTTTGTCCACCCGAGGCCCGCAGGAACACTGAGCGCCAGCAGCCACCATGGAGGCCATCAAGAAGAAAATGCAGATGCTGAAGTTGGACAAGGAGAACGCCATCGACAGGGCGGAGCAGTCAGAGACCGACAAGAAGGCAGCGGAGGACAAATGCAAACAGGTGAGATGCTCACAACATGCACTCCTCTCAAACTTTAATCAGCTAAATTAAAATGCATTGCAGGAAGGAGAGTTTTCTTATTATTACATGTAAAATAGATCAACTTTACATCACTGCAAAAACTGGGTAATTTCACATTTTTTGTCTAAATATTTGACTTTTTTTTACAAATAATAAAAAGAATAAACATTACAGACTGAAGCTATATAGAAATTATGAGATCAGGTTTACGAGTTCTTTTATTTTCCAACAATTATTCAGTGTTTTTAAGATTTTAAGGTCTTTTGATGACCTAAATATGGCATAATATTCTCAGAATATTTAGGTATCATGATATAGATCTGCATTTTTTTTTATTTAGGTAATTATTTTGTTAGAAACAGAGTGTGTAAATTCAACAGGTGAGCTGAAAATATAAGTGTTTAAATTAACGTACGTCTTGATTTGGTCTAAAATTCAGAAAATAGCTTAAATGTTTGGGGTCAACAAAAAGCATCAAGTGTTTTTTTTTTTTCAGTGAGCAGCTGGTTCTGAGAGAAGAAAGTGAAGTGGCATCATGACCACTGAATCCTCAGTGGTTTAAAAGAATGATCTGAAGCTAAATGAGTGCAACTGTAAGAAACCAAACACCCCAGTTCTCTTTTTTAGCCCGAGTCGCTCAGCATCCTGATCTGAGCTGAGGTCTGGAAAGAAAACGCAGCCGATCCCAGGAGTCCATATTTGGTGCTGCTCCGCTCGAGCCTCTGTGAGCTCCACATTTCCAGGCCTAACTTAATGACTGTGTACTTATCCCATTCGATACAAACAAAGTAAGATCTGGGGATCTGAGGTTTCCAAACAGACAGGGTTTTGACTGCACAGCTTGGAGGTGGTATCAGCGTGACGGCTGGGGGCTGAAGAGGCTCACACAAAGCCAGGATCTCCATCAAAGCAAGTGGAAAGAATCCTCCCTCTGGCGCTCTAATCGTGTCCACACGGGAGCTCAAGAGGTGACACTTGTCACTGGCGCTGCGCATATGGACCCTCATCGTGTGCCGCGCATCAGTGAGAAGTCAGCATGAAATCCTAGAAGCTCATGCGCAGCTCCTCAGTTCGTTAACATAGCCGAGATACAAGCGGAGCAAAGAGGCCCTTTCTTTGCTATTCTTGGCAAGATGAGCAGAACGCCAGAGTGCAGTCGGCCTGACAGGAAACACTGAAAATATACAAAGACTAAAGTGCAATATCTGCGTCTTATTACGCAGAACGCCAGGCTTTGACAGTAATTAGAGGAGTGGGTAACCCAAATTGCAGAAGAATTTAGAAAATTCAGGGGATGTGCATGTTTTCGGAGAGAATGCCCCAGTTTGGCCTGATAAACCACAGACAATATGGTGAATGGTTCCCATTCATCATTAAACTGTTGACAGCATGATAAATCACAGAGAGCAGTTGTAAAAATTTGTTTTTTAGCCATGAAATAATGCCACATATTGTAGTGACGTTCTTGTTTTGTTGAAGGATGAGTTTTAATGAAGCCTATACTTTTTATTTGTAGTCTTAACATGATTTCTGCTAAACTTTTAACTGGAAGCATCAAAGATTTTAATTTTTTTCTGGATATTTTAGAAATCAAACTAAAAAGTACATACATTTTAATGAAAATAACAATTTTCGGAATTTTTTTACTTTTCATTTTTTTTGTTATTGTCATGAC